ATATGTCGAAGATCATCGCCGCCAAGTGGAAAAACTGAACACCGAGCTGGAACGTGTTCTCTCCAACTCCAGGAACCACTGCTCGGCCAGCAGATCGCCCTCACAAGACGTTACGCCCACCCTCTGCTGGTACCATCGCCACTAGAGAGCCTGGGTACAAGTGTATGCAGCCCTGAACCTACCACCAGCAGGAAAACTAACACAGCGGACATCAACAGTGGCACATGTCTGAACCCCAAACAACGGCTGCCTCTTTGTCATGGATAGGATCAGTAAAGCGCAAGGTTCAGACGTATGCATGTATCCCATGGCACAAGAAATGTGTCAGCTACGACATCTGTGTGGCTAATGGCACCACCATCCACACCTACGAATGGCTGCCTCTTAGCCTCAACCTGGGACTATGCTGTGATTTCACGTGACGATTCATAGGGGCCGACGTCACTCAGCCACTCATTGGCACAGACTTCCTCTCCCATTTTGGCCTCCTGGTGGACTGCCGAAACAACTGCCTACTGGACAGTCACACTATTGTCTTCTTTGGCACAATCAGCCACCTCACTGATTTGTAGAGTCAAGACTACCAGTAGCGGCACACCAGTCGACAGCCTCCTCACCAAATTCCCGGACCTCACCTGCCCAGCTGGAGCCCAGTGCGAAGTACACCGCAACACTGTCCATCACATCCGGACTATACCTGGCCCACCAGTAACTTGCCGACCACGGCGAATGGTATCAGACCGACTTGCTATCGCCGAAGCCGAGTTCAATGCCATGTTGCGGGATGGCACAGCTTGCCACTCAGAAAGTTCCTGGTCATCCGCCCTACACATTATACCTAAGGACAATGGTTGGCGCCACCGTGGCGACTACAGAGCATTAAACGCCCAGAACATCCCTGACCGCTACCGAAGTGCATCTGTGTATACTGTGAAACTAAATTAATATTATAGAACAGTTCAACAAGTGGTTGTCTCTTCATATAATGACATCCCACACGCTGTACAAACATGTCATTTCCTTCTATCTTTCTACTTTCAATCTTTTATTCCTTCATTTCTACATTTTCTTCATTTTCATGTGATCTTTTTTTATCTGGAACTCGGAATCCAGAATCTGAGAAACTTCTCTCCATATACAACATTTGAGTTTTTTGAGGCAGTGAAGACTCATACTGTGGTCTTCTGGGTTATGACACCCACCAGGCTACATGGTGCCATAACCATGTTGGGGGAGGGGGGCAAAGTTTTAAAGTACTCATCCTTCAATGATTCATACCCACAACTACTCGGAAGAAGAATGGCTTCAAACACACACACACACACACACACACATACATACACAGACAGACGAACCAGAAGAGCAATACTGGTGTAGGAATAACATGCAAATGACCTCAGGCAATTATTATGGCATATGAGCTAACATTTATAGCAAGGCAGTTAATTTTTGTGACCCCAATGCAGTCCTTTAAGCAGTAAGAAGTAAGATAAAGAAGTCACTTAATAGGTAAAATATTCACAGTTGGTCAAAAATACGAGGGTCGTACTGAAAGTCNTGCTTTCTGAATTGCCTCCCTTATCTCAAAACATTGTCCACGCAGCTGATCCTTCACAAATCTGAAAAGATGGTAGTCAGAGGATGCCAGATCAGGGCTATAGGAGGGGTGTGGAAGAACTTCCCACCCCATCTTTGCAATTGCTTCCAATGTGAGGCGAGTGGCTTGGGGGCGAGCACTGTCATGCAGGATGATGATGTTTCGTCCTGGACGTTTATCGCACAATGCACAACAGAGCTTGTGCAGCGTCTGGACATAACGAGCAGCAATGATGGTTTGCCCAGGTTCCAGGAACTCAGCCAGAATAAACCCCTCTGCATCCCAGAAGACTGTGGCCATCACCTTCACAGTTGATGGCACTGTCTTTGTCTTCTTTTTTGATGGAGAATGCAAATGGTGCCATTCCATTCTCTGCCGTTTCGTTTCAGGCTCGAAATGGCGAAACCAGCTTTCGTCACCTGTCACAATACAGAGCAAAAAATCACTGCCTTCGTGTCGATATCTCTGCAGCAGTTCTGAGGTGATGGCTTTTCGCTGACCTTTGTGATCTTCGGTCAATAACCGCGGGACCCAATGAGCACAAACTTTCCTATAGCCCAAGCTTTCAATCGTCTCCTGTACTGCGCTGTGCTCTATTCCAAGTTTTTGGGCTATTGTGTCCACAGTCACACGCCTGTCATCTTGAATAATCTCATCCACTCTTTCCTTGTTGTGTTCAGTTGAGGCTGTTTGAGGATGACCGCTCCGAGGCTCATCTTCGATGCTGGTGTTCCCATCTTTAAAATGTTTCCACCATCTTCGAACACTGCTCCCACCCATGCACACACTTCCATAAGCACGCTGAAGTCTCTGGTGAATTTCTGCAGCAGGGATTTCCTCTTTCACAAGAAATTCGATGACAGCACGCTGGCAAAATAACAAAGTGTTGTCGGCCATTTTGTTAGGAGTGATACTGGCCACGTGATGCAAGCTGTTGACGTCACAAGACACTCAAAGTTAACACAACAGCTGGTTCCACCTACCACCATACTCTCTTTTGTCTGCTGTTCCCAGGTTGCATGCAAAAAAAAAAGTTGCTCATGACTTTCAGTACGACCTACGTAGTATATCAGAAACTGCCATAATTATTCTTAAGTCACTACTTAGAGCTGTCATACAATTCTAGAAATATTTCTATTAATAAATAATCATATTTTCAAATAGACAAGACTCATAATAATTACATTTCCCATTATTTATATGCATGTCATAATGTGATCACTGAATACTGGCTCCTTCCAACTTGCCATGTGCTTCCTATTGGACTTGAGATTATTGTCCTTGCATTTCTTCATAACATGTTTTACCTCTATATCAACCAGCCTGCCCTGAGAATTTAGTTCAGCCCTGCTCTTCCACATCAAACTAAGACTTCCATCCAAGCCATGACATAGCACATAAGAAGTAGAACAGGTGTTTGGGCTTTTGTAGTTGCTTAAAGTACAAAAGAAAAAGTAATACGAGTAATAAACACTGGAACATCCTGCAGATTAACTGAAAAAATAACTCCCAACTTCTGGAGGAAAAATACAATACCGCTCTTCAGACTATTTGCAGCATCTACTGGAAACCTTCTGCTTGATTGCATGTTTGCACAGATCAACTAATCATCCCCACATTGCACTCTTTTTCAGCATTCAAATTCTGTGATGAATAGGTATCATATGCTGCAATGAAAAGGTACACCTAAAATTATGCTGATACTACACTCAGAACTAAGTACTACTGGGATGCAAAGAAGTGACTAGAAAATGACCTAAGAGTTTGAGCATTTCCAAAAACAGCACCCATCTAGAGACTGCAAAATTTTAAAGGGGATTTAATATAAAAAACTGTTCATGTTTTATTTAGTTAGTTAGTTAGTTATTGGAGAGGGTGGGTTTCCCCATGTACTTAGACCAGTACTGGTCCATTGTGCTTCCCTCTATGATATTCTACCAGTCTCTATACCCTACCGATATTGGTGCGTACCATCAGTCCCGCCGAGCCAGTGAGTTCACACTAGCTTGGCGGTGTCTATAATGCTTCCCCCACCTATCAGAGGCCTTAGAGACTACTGTTGGGTGGGAAACGTCCTTGAATTTGGCTCAGTGATCTCCTTTGGAGATATGAGGTTCTTTTAAGTGTTGTAAAGCTACAACACGGGACCCACGGCTTAAAGTCCCTCCCGGAGGACTTGTTCCCTGAATTTTTCTGCCCTTAAAAATTCGACAACCTCCACCGGGTATTTGAACCCGCGTACCACAATTCATGAGGTGGGAACGTTACCTCTAGACTATGGAGACCGCTTATGATGACCTAAGTAGGAGAAGCCATAGGAGACACATCACACCTTATACTTCCCAAATTCCCTGCAGTTAACTGCTAACACTATGGCCCATTAAATATCTCCTGCCATGCACGCTGTGACCCAGGATAATACTCTAGTGCAGATGATGCATAACAATGCATCCAAGTTTCAAAATGTCCCCAAAAATATCATACTTCCCATGACTAGCGAAACAGGCATTCCAAATCAAAGAACACATTTCTTAACAAGGTAAAATATTCTGTAACAAAAGTAGTAAGTTTGCCTGTGATTACTACAGTGCCTCCATCTAAGAGCTATCTGAAAATCATATGGAATCTCAGAAATGAGGCATCATTTGGGCTACTATCAATTACATTACATTACATGCATCCAAAGTTAGTCAAAATGACTGTAGGATGTGGAATATGTCATATAAATACAAAACATATGTACAGTTCCAATGGAGTTCTCACACAAGAGAAACCAAGAATATACAACGACTACACACAAGGCTATTTAAAGATACGTAAGTTATTTCCTAGACAATAGGTATTCATCAACAAAGCAGAATGAGTGTGTATTTAAGTATGGTTTCAGTGCTATTTTAAATCGTGCTTTTTCATTCATAAGACCTTTGAGATCAGATGGCGGGTTATTAAAAATTTTGATCCCAGCAGCATCACTGCAATGAATCAGTGGACAGCTACCATGTTAAATGTTCAATCAGGTTTGTTACTTCTTGTTAAATTCCAGTGTGTGATACACAATGGAACAAATGTTCATGTATGGTACCTAAATGAAATGTGACTGCACGAAAAAAATATGAAGATGAAAAATTTTCAAATAGGAAAACTATTCATATAGTCTTAAGGTGAAGGTAAAGTGGTCCCTGTGCTTAACTAATCACTACATTATGAAGATATATGGGTGAGTGGATGTACAGACCCATGTTATCTTGACCTTAACACTGGTTGGAGGTGTGGTCAGCCTCATGCCCCAACCACTTTACCCCCTGGGAAAGAGCCCACAATGCCCACTGGACAGGATGCTGGATGGGTTCCAGAGCAGGTCTGGACAAAATTAATTGAAAATTCTTGATCCTATTGGGACTCAAAATCTGACCCTTTGGCCTTCCAAAAATAATACATACAGGATAGTTACTAGGCAAGGAAAGAATAAAATCAAAATGCTGAGTGATGAAAAATTGGATGAAATCAGTGCTAGACTTCAACATTCTCCACAAAAATCCCTCAGACACCTTGCACAGCAGACTAGGGTTTTAATCTGTCATAAAACCCCTGTAACCGGGACCATACAAGATAACAGAAGCCAGATGGCACATAATGCATAGGCATGATTCCTGATGACTGTTAAATGATTTAATGGGTGAAACTGTAATATGTACAGACATTTGTCTGTCAAGTCAGCTTCTAGTACAGATCTGTATGGACCATGATAACATGAAAATCATCTGTTTCTCCCACCCAAGAGGCCAATAGTTTTAGAGTTATTCTCAGATGACTACACTGTACTACTAAGAAATAACTGTAATCGTGTATCTGATAGTGTATGGTGTATACGTGGTATATAAATGTATACAGAAATAATCCAGTGTGCATACGTGGTCAACTGAAGTGTATTTATTTTGGAGAAAATATTCTGCACCTATACTGCATTTCTAGGTTTTTCTGAATGCGACATATTCTTACTCAACATGCTCTCTTTCCTGTCAATGCGAGGCATCTGTATCATGACTTGGTCAATTCTGGCACTTACGATTTATGGTATTTGGTCTTCCGCTTCGGCTTCACATCATCTACAGAATAACCAAGTTCCAAAACTTCGTGCGTTTTCCCCGTTTCATCTAATCTTGATTCCAATTCCGTTGCTAATATTTTACAAACTGCAATATCAAAAAATAAGCATTACAAAGTACTGTAGGCCCCCGAAAACAGCAATTTTATGGTATATAACATGATAAAAAGCGTTTCAATCATATTACAAACGCTTCACCTGTTACTGAAGCTGATTGTGCATTAATTCAAACTATGTTACCTTCACATCTATTTGCATATTTTACACCTTCTTCTTCTTCCATACCACTATAACACACATGGCTCACAATTAAAATAAAAAACAGGACTTTGTAACCCATGGTTAAAATTACTCCTTCTCCTCGAAGCGTATATAACGCATTACCGTTTTTCTTTTGTATTTACATACAGATCAATGTGATAATGTAGACAAACACTCAAGAAAACACACACACCACACGTAACCTCCAGCTCCTACTTTGAACTGAGCACGGATCCAGTCGAAGTGCAAAGTGCACGTAGTGTGTTGTATACTTCCAGCTACTGTGGTAGCCATGGCGAGCAAGTACGGAGACACGGAGAGGATTCGTCATACGGCACCGCTTTAGGGCGAGGGCATACCATGGAAACAGGCAACCGCAACGCAACGGAAATTTCCGAGAAATGTCGCCGATTTCAAGATTGGCAGGCGCTCGCTGAGGAAACGTATGTTGCTTACATCGTCTTGAGGTCTTGAGCGTCTTGAGTGGTTATGTCCGTCAAACGTAATGCTTCTTGCACTTACCTTCTTCAATGGAAGATGATAATATTGATCCTGTCATAATATTGTGGTAGTTTCGGCTGGTTGAGACGGCGTGAGGAAAGGGGACAACGACCATAAGGCCATTATTGGGATGTTAATTAATTTGCTTTAATTAAGGTTAATTTATTTTAATCATCAGGAAATATCGCGTAAGGAAATTTTGAAATACAGTACAACAGTTTTAGCAAGATAGAAAACACCTGATGATGGCCGTACACAGCCGAATAACGTACTGTGGAAGAAGGATGACTACATAGTTGCATTTAAGACGGAAATATATGTGAAAAAAATGATATTTTAGGAAAACATTTGGTGCATCCGTTCTTCTGTGACAGTTTAAACGGAGGCACTTCTATTGTTTCGGAAAAACTTAACCTGGATCCAGACCCAGATATTCTTTCCCCAAGACAAATCTGTTTTGTTCTGCCTAGCATTGTCTGGGTGGCGTTTGTCATATATACCAGGCTTTTGCCCAGTTAACTGCACGAAAACAAAATTAACAGCTTCAACCTTTCGTGCCATCTTAAGAACCAAATGAATCACTGACATCACGTTATTGTACAGCTGACACTTGGAAATCACGCGGCAACGTAATTGTGAGAAGACAGGCATGCTCCGTTGTCTGGAAATTCAGTTTCTCATGACCATGAGACTGGCATGTGAACGTTATTATTTCTCTGTTAACATAAACTGCTTAACAATGTGTAAAACAAATATTGTTAATACGTTTTTTAATGTCTTTTGTGGAGGGGGGGGGGCAACTGGGCAAGTAACTTTGTGGTGCTGATTTCTGTGCAGTGCTTCAAGAACATTATGGCATCCCATTTCTTATCAATATCTAGTGTTGTTTTTTAAAGTAAATGACTGCAAACACAATTTATTCATACTGAAATTACATAAGTAGTATTAAAATCAGAAAAAGGATGTAACACACTACATAAGAAAATCAGTTTAAGTAATGGCAACAATATTCTGACAGTTCTCGTAGCAGATCTCAATGCGACTCAATCGTACACGGAAATTGCGTTTGATTTATGCAATTATATCTTGTTTTTTCTTAACACAACGATTAACAATTATTACTGCACCTCATTTGCTCAGGTTCCACCTTTATTCAGTTGGTTCCAGATATATGTTTCACATTCTTGCATTACACAGGTAAATTTGGGATAGTGACAATTTCAGTACAATATTAACTATAAGTACATACTGAATAGTGCAATATTTTGTATAACCCAAAAATAATTTATTTATGTATAATACAAAATCAACAATCACTGTTTCAGACTCTGCAATGTACAAATACTTTCTACATTCCTCACAATAAACTAATATATGTAATTAATGCACTAAAATCTGGTGTTGCAAAACTAATCACAACTGGTAGGTGCTGTTTTACAGTCTTCTCATGCAGCTTCCTGATTCACTCTGGTCCACCTCTCTGAAAAAAAATTGAGTAACTGGATACATAAAGGATCATGACAGCAGTTTTACAATACTTTAATTTCATTCCTCATTCCATACTTTACAAGTTATTTTTCACTGCTGTTTTGTAATATCTGTGATAGTCAATAATACCAATTTCCAAAATTAGGCACTCTCACAACTCTGTGTATTTAGAAAAGATTACAGTTTACATACATTGATATAGGCAATTTCTTTTTCATCAATTGGCTGCCTGCGATACCGTAGTGGAAGCTGGTAGTCTTCAATTACAGGTCTTAAAGTAACTTGGGGTTTCTTGCCTGCTCCAGCTGAACCTGCAGCATGCTGAGATGCTGATGTTCCAGAGACTTGTGTGTCTAGAACAGATAATCACTCTACATTCTGTGGTTCTCAAATTTGTGCTTGGTGCCTGATGAAACACTTACAAAGTGTTTGAGCCTTTTTTTTTGGGGGGGGGGGACCCGTAATGTGTACATTTTATTTTCATAATGCTTCTGTAACATAACTGAAGAATGATCAGGTACATGTGTGTCATATGAACAAGCTCATTCTTAGTGCATAGGTACCTGTTTCCAAGAAGTATCAGTCTAATTTATAGAATATAATCCGTGTCAAGTTGAATTTCATTTTAATATTGTCACGTGTTGGGCATGTGACGCGACAAATAACTTCATGTGTTACGTCACCGTGGGGGGGGGGAGGAGGAGCGTTTATTGGCCCTGTTACCATAGCAGCAGCAGCGGCTTCTATATGGTTATGTCACCACGATAATGGTTGCCTGACACAGTTGCTCTGCTGTTATGTCACCACGAGGGAAGGGGGTGTTTACCAAGCGTTGCGTAATGATGGAAGGAGTGGGGATATGTGACACCACTTGCAAAAACGCAGAGTTCACATGACGCCTACTTCCTGTTGCGCCATCCACGTCACAATATAAACAACTGCAGAACATTGAGCCTCAAATTAATATTCACATCTTCTTGCAGTCCAAATAAAGAACACTGCAAATTCCAGAATATGACTTGTTATACCTGAAAGGGGGGGGGGCTGATAATATAAAACTACTCTACTCAGTCGCCACCCTTTCAGTTAGGATGTTTGCTGCATCCGGCTGCCGTTGACTGCCTGGGTCAGTTCTGACTTTGCTTGGGCCAGGATCGCTCTGGATAGGTCGTGGACAGGTTGGTTGTGGTGGGGTGAATCAAAACTCCCTGTGTACATCCTACCCTAAGTACACTGATCTATTTACACTTATTTACAATAAAGAGGGGCCGACTTCGGCCAGTTTACATAACACCGTTTCGTTACTCCCTTTCTAATTTCCCTCTCGGGGGTGATGCCGTGAGACTGTTGCTTCCCTCCATTGCCTGTCACTCTCTACACAATTTCTACCCTGGTGCTCATAGGGCACAATGGAGACTGTACTTCAAGTTCATAACAACAACACTGAATTTTAAGTAACACGGCTAATATGAGCAAAGAGACTTACTTGAAATAGAGATGCAGATAACTGTCACCATCCACCATCTTGTGGTACCCTGGTCGAACAGAGCCTCCGGCTGATTGCTGAATATTCCGTTTAAAAATTGTCCCTCCAGTCTCATTGATTCAGTAATTTATACTACCGACTTGCTGACATTCCAACTACAAGGAGGGAAGTTACTCCTCCCTTTGTCCTAAATTTCTAAAACAGTAAATTCTAATTGGCTAAATTCGACTCATCGCGGGCAATCGTGGTGCCTCCCTCTTTGAATTTTGTAATTTTGTGGTCTCCAGTGGTTTACAAACGCCACTTACAAGGTGGAGCGATTACGCGTCTCCGCTGACTAAGATGTTTGTTGACCGCGTTCCACAGCCTATGTATGGCCATCACTGCTCTACTTACTGTGAAACGCTCTCGTAATGTTTAGGCAATGCTTTTGATTTCCAGTCTCAAAATTTGCGGCATAACATGACTTATGAAATGTCACAAGAAACATTTATCAGTTCCTCCCTTTCTTTCTTACTGACTGATGGTGGCATTATCTCCTCAAATGAGAATGGGTTTCCAATCCAGTTATCTTCTGACAAATTTCGATGAATGTAATTACTGCAAGTAGATACCAGGTCACAGCACTACTGTTAATATCACTCATCATATCAGCATGAAACTACAGATGATTAATGGGTACTGAAATTTCTTTGCACACTACCTGTTGCTGTGCATCAGACCTTTATTTCTATTGCCTTTGATTTGCCAGAAACAGTAAATTGTAGCAGTCTGGCTACCTTCTGGCTCATTAAACTGACTGAAGATGTCAGTAAAATAGATCAACCTGATAAGCCAAAATTAATCAACCAATGACTCTTGACACATGCTTCCTGTCACAAAGAAAAACTCAGCTTATCTTCAAAGTTCAAAGAGAAAAGTGAGAGCTGTTCATCTTATTTTGGTGTGAAGGAGGAGTGTGTTGTGTCCTGTCCACTTCCCATCCCAGAGCATGATAACAAAACAAATTAAGAATTCAAAGCCTGTGATCTTATAAAATTCACTACCTGTACCCATGTTATGTGGGACCCTTGTCACCATGGCATGTCCTCAGGTTGTGGATGAAGGAGACAGTTTCCAGATATGGAGGGTACCTAAGAATATATTGCATATGCAGTCATGGACAGCCGACACGGGGTAATCCGCTGGCTTGAGGGTTGGGCTAACAACTCCTCACCACAAAAAATAAGCTTGTTAAATATTTCAAGAAGACTCGGACCGGGACGTATTCTTTGGATAAATTACATAAGCAAAAGAAAATGCATATGAGATTTGGTACTTGGAATGTTAGAAGTATGTACAGGGCTGGTTCACCTAGGACAGTTGCAGAAGAAATATCAAAATATTAGTCACATTTAGTGGAAGTACAGGAGGTCAGATGAGACAGGCGTGTCACTGAACCAGCAGGCGAATATACATTTTTCTATGGAAAAGGGAATAAAAATCATCAATTATGTACAGGTTTTTTCATACATAAGAGAATTATATCAGCAGTTAACGAGAGTACAGTTTGTTAGTGACAGGATGTGAAGGGCTGCACCATAGCTCAAGTGGTTAGTTGCTGGCTTCCCACCATGGTGGCCTGGGTTCAATCCCGGGTCTGATCAAGTGGGATTTGTGATGGACAAAGTGGCGGTGGGGCAGGTTTTCTCCAAGTACTTCGGTTTCCCCCGCCAATCTTCATTCCACCAATTGCTCCACAATCACCCTCACCTATCATCTGGGGCTGGTACAATAGGCCAGAAGTGGTCGCAGTACAAGGGACTTAGTCCCACCCCACTAGAAATAAAAAATACTGATAGGATGTCATATACAATAAGAAGTCCCTGGTGTGATAATCATTGTTCTGAATGTTCATGTCCCAACAGAGGACAACATCGATGATATTAAGGACAGGTTCTACTAAGAACTAAAACATGTATTTGATAAATTCCCTAATTATCATATGAACATTTTGTTAGAGATTTCAATGCCGAAGTAGGTAGGGAAGACATTTTCAAACCAACAACTGGGAATGAGAGTTTACATGAAATTAGTAATGATAATGGCGTTAGAGTAGTGAACTTTGCCACATCTAAAAGACTTACTGGCAAAAGTACAATGTTCCCACATCATAACATACATAAACTTACGTGGACATTCCCTGAGGGAAAGACGCACAACCAAATTGACCATATTTTGACATACAGGAGATGGCATTCAAGTATGCTTGATGTCTGATCATTCAGGGCAGCATATTGAGAAGTTACCACTATCTGGTGGTGGCTAAAGTTAGGAACAGACTGACAGTGAGTAAACATACAATGCACAGAGTTCATATGGAGAGGTTCAATCTCAAGAAATTAAATGAGGTAGAGGGTAAAAAGCAGTATCGTGTTGAAATATCAAATACGTTCACAGCTCTGGAAAACTTTAGACACTGAGGTGGATATTAATAGAGCTTGGGAAACTATTAGTTAGTTATTGGAGAGGGTGGGTTTCCCCATGCACTTAGACCAGTATTGGTCCATTGTGCTTCCCTCTATGATATTCTACCAGTCTCTATACCCTACCGATATTGGTGCGTACCATCAGTCCCGCCAAGCCAGCGAGTTCGCCTCCACTGGCTTGGTGGTGTCTAGAATGCTTCCCCCATCTATCAGAGGCATTAGAGACTACTGTTGGGCGGGAAACGTCCTTGAATTTGGCTCAGTGACCTCCTTTGGAGATATGAGGTTCTTTTACGTGCCGTAAAGCTACGACATGGGACACACGGCTTAAAGTCCCTCCCGGAGGACTTGTTCCCTGAATTTTTCGGCTCTTAAAAATTCGACGACCTCCGCTGGGTTTTCGAACCCGCGTACTATGAGCCATGAGGTGGGAACGCTACCTCTAGACTATGGAGGCCGCTTTGGGAAACTATTTGAGAGAATATAAAAATTTCAGTTGCAAAGAGCCTAGGTTATTATGAATTGAATAAACACAAGCCATGGTTTGATGAAGGATGCTCAAAATTATTAGATCAAAGGAAAGAAGCCAAACTGCAATGGTTACAGGACTCAAGCTAAATAAATGGGGACAATCTGAACAATATAAGATGTGAAACCAGCAGGTATTTCAGGAATAAAAAGATGGAATATCTGAAAGACAAAATTGATGAGCTTGCAATGAACAGTAAGAACAAGAATATTAGATACCTATATAGAGGAATAAATGACTTTAAGAGGGGTTATCATTCTAGAAGTAACTTAAGAGAAGGATGAGAATGGAGATCTGCTTCCAGATTCCCACATTTTGAATCGGTGGAAGAACTACTTCTCTGTTATTGAATGTACATAGGGTCAGTGATGTTAGGCACATAGAAATACATACAGCTGAGCCATTAGTGCCGGATCCTAGTCCCTTTGAGATTGAAATTGCTATTGCACAATTGAGAAGGTATAAATCACAGGTAGTGATCAGATTCAAACAGAACGTCAACATAATATAAGGAGAGAGCAGTATCTTAAGTTGAACTTCCTCAGTTTCATATGAAGATTTATTGATAGTGAACATACATGCAATAAAGTGTAGCCTTTATGTTTTGCAGTATAGAGAAAAATACAAATCTTACCTGTGACTGAGGCACCTCCTTTTCTGAATTTTATCATTGGTACATGTGGTCTGATAACCTATGAATAAAAGGAAATCATAAGCAGAGAAAATTACTTCACTGCATTACAGGCTATTAAACTATCCTTGAAGAAAACTTACAACACTAGTATTTATGCTGATAATATGGATACCACAAAGTTTAATAAAAAAGTCTGCAAGAAATAAAACTTAAAATGAGCTTATAATAACAGAAGTATGTTAGAGTAATATAGACTGCTGAAGAGAACAAGTGAACCTAAGACAGAGGAAGTAAAAGCAAAGATCAACATAAAGTTTCCCTTGTGCTTAATTAATTTAGCAGCATTCCATGAAGACATATGGAGGAGTGGAGGTATATCTCCACCATTCTTGACCTTGGCACTGGACAGAAGTGAGTGATCAGCTTCATGCTCCGGCCACTTCGCTCTGCAGGGGGGAGGGTGGGGGAGGAAGACTCCAGCACCCATTGGATAAAAGGTTGAGTGGGCCTCACAGCTGGGCTTAACATTGTGAAGAAGAAAAAATCTCTTGCCCTTGCTGAGAATCAAATTGCGACCATCCAGCCCGTCACTGTAGTGACTGAGCTACCCAAGCGCTTAAAAGAAAGAAAGAAAGAGGGTAGTAGTCAGAATTACATAGTAAGGAGCTCTGAAATGTAAATACCTCTCTACTTAACGTCCATTTATTTATCATCCATCAATACTGCAACAATTGTTTATTCACTACTTAATTTTAATTTTAGTTTAACATTATACACTTTGAGACTACATGTTTTGGCCCCAAACTGCAATCTTCAGGTGTCTTGATATGTTACAATTATGTCATTAAATTGTTATTATACATGTAGTGTCAAAGTGTTAAAATTAAGTAGTGAATAAACAAGTGTTGTAATACTGACGGACAATAAATACATGAATGTTAAGTTAAACAATTGCAACATGATGCTAAAATACAGAATTACCTTCCTACTATTGTTAGCAGTTAATATTAACTCAAGACTGTGGGACATATAGCACACAGTAACACAACATATGTATATAAAATTACTGCCAGAAAAATTCAAAGGAAGAGATTTCTTGTAAGAACAATGTACATACTGAAAAACAGATACTGCAAGAAATAGGATGTGAAGGTGTAAATTAAATAGATTCATCATGGTGTCCAGTGCTGGGCTTTCATAACTACAGTGCTGAATCTCAATTTCCATACGAAATTTTCTAACCAGAATAACTGTAAGCTGCTATTCAAAGAGTAATGGTTATGAAGCCGTCTAGGCTTCTACTGTTCCTACAATTTAATTCAGTGACGGGTAAGGGCATTAGGAAAGTCGGAATGGGTTCTGCTGAAATTATTTCTTCTGGCCTTGTATAAAACATCTGGTTCAAAAGGCTCATATGTACGGTTAAATGTGTTCAATTGTAAAACCAACCACATTTCAAATATAATTTCAGTAACAGAGTATATAAATTAAAAGTCGTTAGACGAAGTATAAAGGGGTCTGCCTTTCTCTGCTATAGGACATTCCTGAATTTGCTAAACGGTACGAGTTTCTGAAGGTATTCAGCATCTGGTGGTACCAGCCCCAACAATTATTCCGTCACACTGCCGACCGTCCTTACATCAACTGATTTTAGATCATAAATACTTACTTGCCATGATTTTGCAACAGAAATACCAGCCATCTGTAACGAATATACGCAATAACTCGTCTAACAGAAGAAAATTCAAACGGAAACACTCACACAATAATACGCATACTTTCTACACCAACCTATACTAACAATTTAAACCAAGCATGGTTCTAATCACGGATCATTAAATATTTCCCACGTTGGTCAGCATAGTGATCCATGGTAAGATTGAAGCTGATAGTCTCGATGGAGCACAGAGAGTAATTTCTCCGAAATATCATCGTCGACCTCTCCTAATTTTGTTTCTCATTCAATTTCAAATTCTAGCCGCCCGATTTCAATCGCACCGTCTTTGCTTCATTTGCTTCTGTGGTCTTTGCTAGTTCAACTTGTATGACACAATTTGACGTTCATATTCCCTGCTTTCGCCGCTTTCTGAATAAAAAATATGCAACGTATATAGTTCATACTAGCATTTTTATAGCAGGAAATATCGCTAACAAAATTCAAAGGAAAACAAATGAAACAATAAACAAAATCACAGAGTGGTTTGAGAGAAATCGATTAACTATTAATAAAGAGAAAACAATAGCAATAGCCTTCCATCATCCTCAAAAACCAAAACTTGAATGCCCTCCAATAAAGATTTATGACACTGTCATCAACTACACAGATCACTCAAAATTTCTGGGAGTCTGGCTAGATAAGCATCTAAGATGACTATGCATACTCAAAAGCTAGCGAACAACTTACGTAAAGTATGGTTTGGCCTAAGGGTAGTTAGAAGAGTGACTGGACTAGAGACTGTCCGCACATTATATTATGCTCATTTCCAATTTTTGTTACGGACTGATATTTTGGGGCAACTCAGTAAACGCAAAATTGATCTTCAAATTACAGAAGAGAGCTATAAGAGCTATGATCCAGGTCCCAAAAACGACTAGTTGTAAACAAATTTTCAAATTATTTCATATATTACCTCTACCATCTTTGTACATATACGAAACTCTAATATACATAAAATCCAATTCGAATGATTTCACAACCAACTCAGGATTACACTCGTACAACACAAGGAAAAAAGACGACTTGCACATCATCCCATGTAATACAAGTCTATGCAAGAACAACTTTAACAATGTAGGACTTTGACTGCTAAATCATCTGCCACGATATATTAAACCAATACCAGTACTATATAAGTTCAAAATGCTTTGAAAACTTACCTACTTGATCATTGTTTTTATAAAGTGGATTAGTATCTCTCGTGTGAGACAAACACTAAACAATTATAATCACATAATTAATGAATAATCGGTTTTGGGAATCCTTACTGCGCAGTTTTCCTTAATTCTTCCAGCAACCAAGATAACACAGTCGGAGATGTACCTGAATGGGCTACTCTGGAGAGATTGCAGATGCCAAGAAGCTGCACCAGGAAGGGAGAACAGATGGAATGAGATGCTGCAGTGTAGAGTCTACAGTGAAACGTTATACCAGTGCTATCACCAAATTCACCAATATTATCTCAAAGGCCGTGCCATAGCTTAAGCGGTTAGTCGCTGGCTTCCCACTGCTGCGGTCTAGTCAAGTGGGATTTGTGATGGACAAAGTGGCACTGGGACAGGTTTTCCCCGAGTACTTTGGTTTCCCCTTCCAGTACTCATTCCATCAAATTCTCCATAAGCATTATCACCAGTATAGGTACAATAGGACATATGAAAGCTGATGTGCCGAGGGGACCTAATATGGATTCCACCTCACACTATATGAAATCTTAACCCTTGTACACAATTTTAAGTATTGTAACTTTATTCTCTTATTGTAATCAGCCAATGTACAGTAACTGACTTGTCCTATATCATGTAACAATGGTCTATAGAGACGAAATAAATAAATATCTATCATATAGATAGATGAGAGAGAGGCAGATGGAACAGATTACGTAGTTTGGGTGGACAAATAGAGAGAAATGCTGGCAAATGAGCAGGAGTGGTGGTGGCGACTTTTTTGTGATATGTACCCACATTTGCTCCAAAAGCACTCAACAAAGAATAGAGAGGGGCCAGAATTCGTAGCAACTTAAATGCTGATCTGTGGGCTGTCTGGTGGGAAATTCTATTATGGATTGGGTAAGGACTGCCCCGAAAACAGAACAATACTTGATAGTACCTGAGTTCCCGAAACAGCAGCGTTTTGATACAGCAGTTATGGAATGTGGAAATGGACAAAGGGGCTGTTTCTCGTTTGGCAAACAAGAATCATATATCCTTTCCTATTGTGGAAGGTTTCTTGTTGTGAAATAACTGACCTGCAGTTTGAGGAGCAACCGGTTTATGACGTTGGACCAGGCCAATGAAAGGGATGTAAGTGGAAGAGGACAGAGGAACATAGTCTTTTCAGGAAATGGAATATGAAACACTGGAGAGGCAAGAACAATAAAGTGTTAAAGAAATGAGTGCATACCCCTGGAGGGCCTGTGCTGGTGGACCCTACATGTTAAAAGCTGGTATTCACAGAACTGGGTTGGCTGTGCATGTAAGTATATATATATATATCCCAAGGAGGAAACCCAGCATCAGTTGCTGGAGAAAGAAGGCAAGTTTACATGATACATTCATATTTCCATGTAAAATTTAAATACTGAAAGTATAAATATATGTACGTATTAGCAGAAAATGTGAACACTGTGTAATATCTTCAAAGCACAGCTGACATATAGCATTCTTCATATTCACAATCTACTGACTTTCTCAGAGATAAGAAATAGTGAAGGCATACAGAAATATTTATATTAGATCGGCTGGCTATGAACAGGAGAACTTTGTCATGCAGTCCAACCTTCAGAGCTGCAATGCAGACAAATCTGAGTGGAGGGAAAACATTCAATCTCCATTTATATACATTCACATCTGCTGATAACTGTAAAAAACATAACAAGGCAAGCCATGCTATGTGATGGCAGGAGTTTGAATCCTTGTAGGGTCAAGAATATTCTCTTCTCCACATCGTCCAGAATGGTTCTGCCGTCTACACAACCTTCTATCTAATGGGTACTGGGGGCTCTTTCCCCAGGGGGTAAAACAACCAGGGCGTGAAGCTGACCACTCATCTCCAATTAGTGGTGAGGTCAAGAAAATGTGGATCTATACATACATCCACTCTTTTATATGCCTTCATAGCATAGTGCTTAATTAAGTTAAGCACAGGGATAACTTTACCATTCTCAACAAAACTTACACTACTCTCCTGATTGAACACAGTGATTTTAGTAATCCTACCATCATTGAAGCACTTCTGGTACTGTTGGAATATTGTTTAAATTCTGGACTGTGTCACCAAGCAGCTAGAGGTTTATGCTGTCCCTAGCCAAGAGGCATCAATAATGATGGACGTCCTGGTGACCAACTTCTTATGCCATTTCATGGTCAAGAGGGAACTGCACAGCAGTCAAGGCCAGAACTCCTGTAGGAAATATTACAGAACCTGGGATTTTGCAAGATGTGGACCTACCTTCTGCACCAGGTATTGGATGGCATGGTGGAATAACATGAAGGCAGTAGAAAAGAATCTGAGGAAGGTTCTGAAAAACCAGTGAGACTGGAACAAAAGACTACATCTCTTCATGCTGGCCTACAGAGTATCAACCCAGGAGATCACACACATGGCCATGCCCAGCATGGTGATTGGGACAGATCTATATCTGTCCTGTGAACTGGTGGTTAGGACTCCCTCCAAGGAGCATCCTAGAACAAACTATATGACAGACCTCATGGAATGGCTTCATAATATCCATCATTATGCCCAGCAACAGGGTGAAGGACTCTGCATGATTCCATGAAGGAGACTGAGCCTGGCTGTACTGCATGACTCGGAAATGTAGTCTACAGAATCCAGCAGCATCCCAAGCTGGAAATGGTAATGGTGTACTTGGAATGATTGGGACTTTATCCAGGGGAGAGAGCAGTATTGTGGGATTAGGGATGGTGGGATTGTGCTGCCTGGTCTGCATGTGCTGCTTGTTTAATTGAAATACTGAGAATCTTTTTGGGACATTCAGGAAACTGCTCAGCTGATGAAGGCCAAGGTCATCTGAAAATATGCTAGAAGTTATCTACAGGTGACAAGTGACAGGTAGTTAAGTTCTCATTAGTGTCCAGGTCACTTCAGTGCAGCAGAGCAGTGGAGTGAGCAGTGAGTCATTGTTCAGATAGTGAGTACAGTGAGTCTGTGGGTCAGTTATCAGTTCAATGTAATGCAGTATAGAAAAGTCAGAAGAGGTGAGTATAGTCTGTAAGCAGTAGCATTACTATGAAGGAACAAGTAACTAGAGAACTGATCTCAAGAGCATACATGGTTACAGACAGTGGAACAGTAATTGCTCCAAATATTAATAATGATCACAATATATACAAATTTGACTTTAAAATTTGAAGCATTTTTTTATTTAAGGATTCTCTTCTCATTGGATCTAGCCCACAAACTCTGTGTTCCTAATGAGGTCACCTGTGAAACACTATACAACAATCCTCCAGCACTCATTGGTCTTTAATACCTTCTTTCTTTCAGGATGTACATAAAACACACTATTCTTGGCAGAAAATAATACAAGTACTTCTATATACATACTGGTACTCAAATATTCAAACTTTCTGAGAACTCACAACATGCATTTTATTCCTGCCATGTTCAAAAAAGGAACAACTGGAAAGGCTAAGTTGTGTATCATACTTGTAGTTACTCATATCTCACATTCCACATACACAGCTTCAGCCAGTTAATATATATTTGTAAAATGTACTTGTAAAATAAAGACGGACTGCTTTCTGTAAAATTTTCTTAGACATAACAAGTTTTGCCAAATTCAAATTTGGCAGAGTAGAATTAAGAGGCAGGCTTATTGCATTTGTGTATGAAGAAAGTTAACTTTCTACCACTATAATCCATTGTTGGTTTAAAGTAACAAGATGTAAAACAATGTTTATATAAAACATTAAAAAATAAAGCTCAATATAAAATTAAAATTATGCAATGTTCTTAAATGCTTATACATAATATTCATACCCTGGCCTAACATATGCAGAAATAAGAATATTCTACATAACAGCAATGTTCAGGAAACAAATCAATATAATCGTTGAGCACAGTGCATTTGCAGTTCTGAAAATTGACTCAACCATT